ATGTTGGTTCATTCCATCAGAAAGATGGAAAGTTAGAAAGATGAGAGCTCAGTTGTTTCCAAGTTGATATGAACAGAGATGATATGCTCCCCATATGTTTCAAAAAGTAACATTAAAATAGGCCATTGACTGGGAAACTGAGCTATCGCTACGATGAATAACATACCTGTGTTTATCTGTTCTCAATAGCTGCAACTCCCTTAGGTGCTTTGGCCGTTAATTCTGTCACTGAAAATTGGGAGTGAGACTCCTTAACGCTGGGTGTGTTAAAGAGCGGGCATTACTTTATTAGGTGCTGGGTGCATGGGGGATCTCTCCTCCTAGCATGCTCTCCAAACCACATGAAGATACATGTTATATTCAATAAAATAATTGCATATTCACAGCACACTGCGTATTCATTGTTATTCACACTCAGGATTGGTTACAAGTTTCTCACTTCTAATGTAAATCAGTACGCACCCTCCGTTAGCACTAACGAAACCTCTCTGTCAACCGCGCATGCTCCCCAAGCGGGGTTTTACCCTCTTTTGGGGGGGCCATTTGAGTTGGAGGTCGCGATCTCCCACTACCACAGTTACCTCTGTCCTGCTCTCAGCTGATTAACTACTGATGTCTGGGGGTTGTAACCTTTTATCAGCTTGGCTCCTTTGATGCCCAAAACTTCCTCCCTTGAAGGCTGCTTCTTGCATTCTTAACATACTAACTTAAATAACAGTGTCCTCTTCATCACTTGTTCTTGTTTTTTTTTTTAATGCTTTCCAACCTTGGGATACCAGGCTAAAGTATGTGCCTGGTTCTCTTTTAATTTAATTCGATTGTTTAACCTTTTAGTATCAATTCTAAGTACTAAACCTTGAAAATGGAGGCAGGGCACTCTGACTGCAAAGCCCTATTCACCGGACCTTTCCTACCCCAGGAATCAGTGGGTGAGTACCAGAATATTTAGGTAAATCATTTCCTGCAAACCATTTCATAATAGGGCTGAATTAAAGGAACAAAAAGTATGTTGTCATTTCAATCCAGAGCACTGCTACATTTTGATGAAAGGAAGGACTCCTCATAAGCTGTGTGGGAAGCTCTTGTCTAGAGGACAAGCATTTTACACAGCAGTGTAACACCTCAAACCTTACCTTAAGAGGGAACTACAGCTCATTTAAGTAATAGGGGCTCTAATTAAAACGAAATTATTTTTTTTTTCTTTACAAATACAGTTAACATAGTGCAAAGTGGAAGTTTAGTCAGTGGTTTAGTCAGTGCCTGTCGCTGTCACTAGAACCCCCAGTTGTTGAAAGCTCACCAATCTATCTGAAGTACTGTGAAGCATTATGAGTAGGGCTGTGGTACATTTATCAAACACTCTGAATATGGACTAGTGAGGGAGATGAATGGAAAAGATGATTGTCCTCCCCTGCCTCGACATCCTGAATGTAAAAAGAAAAAACAGAACTGACATTCAACTTCTGCTTCTGTAAAAAATTGTGCTGTGACTAATAACACACAGGCGTGCAAATCCGAGTAGTATGAAGCGTGCCAGGATGAATCCTGATGACCTGTTCCATGTTTAAATAGCTTTTGTGAAATATATTTCCATTGACTTTAAATACTTATGTAAAATCTGAACAAAAGATTTAGGATTTAGTGCTCACGTGATATTTCTTGAGGATAAATTCTTCTCCTGGCAAGTAACTGAAAATTTGATCCTGTTGATGGTTTGATAGCTAAAATAACATTATAAATATTGTCCCAAGACAGATGTGTAGAAAATACTGCTTAGTCTCAGGGTTTTTTTCCTTTCCAAAAATATTTGGCATCTCTTATTAAAAAAATCATATCTATTATTTACAAAATATAATGATGTAAATGAAGCAGGTAAGAATAGAGATTGGCTAAGTCCTGAAAACAAAGCAGAGAGAAAACCGGGTAGGGTCACATCTCGCAGAACAAGGTAATACTATGACTGTTCTCCCAAATCTCAAACAGAAAAGACATTTTGAAGAAAAAGTAAATAAGCAACAACTTCAAGATATATCTAACCCAGTGAGGCTGTCCTAAAATGATGTGTTGTTTAGGCCTAAACCAAATCCTTTCTGTGGAGTTCTGGGATGGGAGACAGGACAACAGCTCTACATATCAATACATGGAAATATAGTCAATATATATTAATATATCGATACCAATATATGGAAACTAGTATACAGAGGTTTTACCACAGTAAGCAGAATACCTGACATCTCAGTGCAAGTCTGCATTAAATGACTCCGTTCCTTTTAATGCAGAATGCGTCCCTAAGGGGCCACAAACAGCAAAGGCAGTTATTTACCTCTACTGCATATCCAGAGGTACAATTATCAAAAGGTTCCCAGAGAGCCCATGTGCATCCTCCCATCTAAGAGCCTAAGAAGAAACAAAACCATTCTGAAAGGAACCTGGAGAAGTAAATGAAATGAAGTAAAAGCCAAATAAAAACTGGCTTGCCTATCTAGTTAACATACTTCCAGCTTCTGTGCTGAGCATAAAGTGGAATTCTCTCCAAATTAAAAATTTATGCAGTCGCTAAGTACAGCTGGAACAGCCATTTTGACAAACCTCATTTTCATTTTTCCCATCTCTTCTAGCTTTGTACCGTCTTGCAGTGTGATTATGAGATCCAGACCGCACTGGTGTCCTGCTGCCATTGCTGCTGCCTTACAACAAAAACCTGGGAGGGTATGGATTAACAACATCACTCAAGCCTCACTGCAAGGACACATCTTTGTCGAGATGATAAAAACCCAACTTGCGGTTACGTTTGGTATGCTCTTCTACAGCTCTCTTTCTCTCGTGCAGTTCAACTGTGAATAGTAATGTTTGATGAAAATGTTATTCCACAGGAGCTGTGTCACTGGTTTCAAAACTACAGTGAAATATTTCAGAGCATGGCTACAGGTTACCACTGTAGAAAGCCTCGTTCCATGGTGCTCATTGCAAGGGTTGCAAAGGGAGGCTGGAGAACAATGTAGGTTGTTTGGTTTTTTTTTCCTCCTATTCTCCTTCATCTTCACTCCTCTGCCTCATGTCATTGCCCTGGGTCTGCAGTACTGCTTCCAAACTAAGTTATTTCTGACAGAAAAGGAGAGCGTGCGCTCATGCTGCTTCTCCAGTCGAATCACCACAACCATCCTGGAAGGAATGGTAGAACTCTCTTGGAGAAATAAGAAACTTGGAAAATTCTTGAAACTCTGGTAGAGGAAAAAGATTAAAAGTACTTAAATACAGGGAGAAGAAGGCAGCGGGAACTCAGCTGTTCTAGGTGTGTGACAGCAGCTTGTCCCAGCCTACCTACGGCACTTGCTGCCTTCTGCAGCTCCCTGACGTTTGCAGAGGGAGAAAACGTGCAGGAAAATTGGCAGAGGTCAGAAGGACACAACACTTCGCTGGGCAGTAACTTATTTTAATACACTGTAATTTAAATGCAATGCCAGTAAATTTGAAGATGGAAAAGTGTAACAATTTGTATTATGGTTAACTTTATGCTTTCTATTAACAGCAGAGCTGTCCCAGTTAAAATCAGTTGATATAAAAAACTAACAAAAGCCAGAGAGCACTAAGAAATTTCCAAATGTGACTGTGTATGACCTGTACAAACATTGCAGAAGCACCGAGGTTAACGCTAACAGCTCAAGAAAGAGCTGTAAAGTTGTCTTCTATGCATTTTTATGCGTTTACTTTATGCGTAACTCTGCAGGTAAAATCCTTTGCCTCGCAATCGTTCTGTTTTCAAATACTTTAATCTGATAGCAGGTGACAACTGAAAATGTGTCAGACAGGGACCCGCTACACTCAGTACCTGTGTTCAGAGACCCCAGCGACTGTTTGCCTGGGCGGCAAGAAAAACAGGTCAGCTACAAGATAGAAGATAAGCCGTGCGTGTAGGTTTTTCATGGAAGATGGCAGGTACACTGGTGAAGTAGTACAGCTAGGCAAGTGTTGACCCGTAACGTTACAGTACCACACATGCGCCTCCTAAATAAACTCAAGGAGTAAGGATGACTGGTGAGGATTCTGTAGACCACAGCCAAAATTAAGCAACAGGATTTTAAAATAGAGCAAATTTTATTGCATGAAATAATAAGGGGGAGTGATAAGGGCAGAGATCCTTGTTGGAAGTGCTGTTGCATCTGTACCAAGAGGGACTGCCATTGCTGTGTATGGGCAGGGGAAAAGGTGGCCTGCCAGGAAAGGGTTACTGCAACCCACAGACTCTTACAAAGGTGGTACCATCCTGTACACTTCAAATTGGTCACTGTAAAAAAGACTGAGAACTCCTGACAGCAGCGATAACAGGAGAGTGAAGATGACTTGCAGAGAAAATGCGAATTTCAGTACAAGGATTATGTGAACTGGCAGAGTAAGAAAGTACACGGTCACCTTTATTTAAAAAATCGTGTTTCTACCCCTTGAGCTTGGTAAGAAAAAACTTGATGGCATCAATCAAGTATGCTCTAGAGTGGTAACGATTCCCAAATAGAAAAGGGCATGAGATGTGCACTGGGATGGAGAGGACATTTTTGTTGCTGTCTCACATAGAACACATTAGCAGTCCAGGCCTCACTGGTGTCCTGGTGAGCATCACTTTGGACTGAATTACTTGCCAGTGATTGTAGGTGCCAATGGAAGTATGGAACCATTTTATTTTTATTTTTTTTCAGGCTAAGCCATTAAATATTAGTCTCATTGTTTTACAAACTCACAGCTAGAACATGCAGGAAGACTTGAATGGTCTCTTGAAGAAATGAACAGTTGCATACTTTTTATGGCATACTTTGTATGGCAAAGGGAACCGAGGCACGCTGGACATTTCAGTGAAGTATGTTAATACTAAGGTTTTAATACACAAGGATGGTATTCACATTGTTGACTCTTGTAATCATAAGCAAAAGTACAAAGGAAGGTCTCTTCAAAAAGAAGTCCATTTATCAAGCTACTAAACAGTGGGAATTGCATTTTTCATTCTGGTTTTAAGAGAACTTCTTCATGAAGTGCAGTTTCAGGTAGGCAATGGTGAGGAATATTACTGTCATGCAGGCGAGAGCCAGGTGGTTCTGCCACAGGCCCCAGCAACTCGCATCAATACCTTGATTTTTCAGATATTCATCTCCGGTACACCACCTACGGATAAATACACACACATTTATAAACTTAGTCAGTTGGAAGATCTCTAGAAGTTGTTGTGTGATTTCATGTCCATAGTAGGCCAGGCAAACATCAGCTATATGTTACTATTTTGTTTTCTATTTGTCGATTTGTTTTTCTTGTAGCTGCAATCAGTTTCCTGTAGGAAGCTGAAATGTGTTTTTTGAGGCTGTATAATTGTAGTGTGTCTGTATGTGTTTCAGTAAATGCAGCTTAAAGAAAAGGGAGAAGCATAATACCAGATATTTCTATTGTTGTGAATACTAACTATGACAATAAGAAGAATGTTCTCTGCAGACAGAATGCAAAAACCCAGTCCAAACTTCATTTTCCATATGAAGACTCACAGATTCTGCTGGTCATCAGTGAGTATCTCGCAAACAGACTAATGCTTTAGGACTTTGGAAGTTACTGGTGGTGGGATTCATTTTAATGTACCAAAATACTTACGGCCGGCTTCTCTGTTGATAGTTATCGTTGCTGATTACATCTGTGGTGTTGCTGCTGCTGCTGCAAAAATTCAGACCAGTCAATTCATTGATTTGTAAAGCCTTTTAAAATAAAAGAAACAATGACAGCAGAAATTAGTAGGTAAAGGAACCATACCTGAACAAGATGAGATATAATTCAATTCAAATTTATTCTGAAAAGGTGATGGTATTGCTGTTATTGGCCAAATCCCCATTTTTTAACTGAGCAGCAAGGTTCTTTTTCTTTTAGGAGAGGAATGTGTGCAGTCCACATCCTGTAACGCACGCCCGTCACCAAGCTTTTAACACCTTGCCCAGGCTGGACTATTTCTGCACAGGCGTATTACGACCCAAATTTCTGTGTGAAACATCACCCTGGCTTAAATGGTCAAAAATAAGGAGAAAAGTTTTAGCTTGGCAAAATTTTGTTTGATGGATGGAAAAGTGAAGCATTGGTTTTTTTAGAGATAACGTTGTTTACTCTGTATCATTTTCATCCCACTGCATTCCGTGGATGTAGCTGTTTGGGGTCTCTCTTGTATGAGGTGTTCCCAACTTACAGAAGTCAACTCTCCTAAACAGCAGCAGGTGCTGGGTGATGAGCAGCCTTTCTTGATTCAAGATACTGCACTACGTTCTGCGGTTGCTGTGTTTAATTAGCTTACCTTTTGCTCGTTAGCCCACAAAGTTTGGAGCTTTCTGTACCAAGAGTAAAGACATTCCTTTCTAGCAAATCTTTTCCAAGCTTGTACACAGGAAAATCCAGCACTTACTGTCATGGCGTATCGAGGGATACTAAAGTATTTGAGCCAGGAGAGCCAGGACATGATGCTTGTGAGATTGACCAGCAACCCAGAGAAAATCTAGAAGCAAGGATTACAGAAAAAAAAAAAAGCCCCCAAAACAACAAGAAAAAAACAAATTACAAATTACACGCTGTTACCGTGTGTTCTTCTCTAGCCCTTGACTGTGCTTCTTCAGATTAAAAAACAAGTGGGAAGGCATTTCTAGAGGAAGAAACTCTTCCAGTGGAAGAACAGGGGAGAGGGAAGGAATGACTTCTGTTACCAAGCTTTGGGCCATAACCCCACATGGTCCTTCTCCTGAAATGAGTAACAGGGGATGCTTTCACCCGTGCATTAAACCCATATGCTTCCCATCTGTGGGCCCTGCACGGGTTCCCATGGACATGTGGAGTTGCTGGAGATCTGCTCTGACTTTTGGTTGTGTGCCCTGAGTCTGAGGCAATGTGGGGTTTGGCTGTTGGTTCAGCGCTGCCTCGTTGTTTATGGTGCCTATCTTCTAACTGCAGCTCTTTGTGTCTTGTCCGGGTATAACATGCCCGATGGTTGGCCCTGCAGCTGAGGAGGACAACTACGATAGAGGGCTCGGAGAGCAGGAGGCTGCAGGTCATGTCCTCACCCGGCCAAATTTGTCTTTAGCAAAGCTAAAGAAGGGTGAATGAAACATAGCTCTCAGATGCTTTTCTGCTTTCTGGGCAGTACACTGGCTGCCAGAGCCCCGGAGAAGAGGACAGAGGACCCACTCTCCCTCCCCCTCACTCCCAACCCCCCAGTTCTTCTTACTTAAAAGGACAAATCAGAATATTTGACCCCACAGTATCAGAATATTCAAATCGGACAAATCAGGATATTCAACATACTCGACCTCACAGACTTTTTGCAGAATTCAGCTGAACTCTGTGCTGGCAGGATTTCTAGATTTCGGGATTTCTAGGATTTCGTCTTGAAAACCAAATGATGTTACTCACAATCATAAAAACAAACGCGATAGTCATCAGCAGGTTTGCTACAGCAACCACGCTCTGTCCTGCTGCAATGGCTAGTGCCATGGAAGTGGCCGTGTAGGACACCATTGTAAGGGTGAACATCATCGTCAAGAAGGCTTCTGCTGTTGGTTTCAAACCTTAAAGATCACAACAAGAAGGATTTCAGTATGATCCTGCCATGAGCTCTACCATAACCTCTCCTGACTTACGTAGTGTATCCTGCCTACAGGATACGTTTTGTCTGATAGCCTAGCCTACGTCACCAAGACCCAAGACTGCAGTGGGGCTTGTGACATGCCCTGTTGGCGGAGAACAGGGTGAATAAGTAGTGTGTCTGTAACTGCGGTAACACTGGAGACAGCAGAATGGGTAGAAGTTACAGTACTGTGCTCCACATGGTCCAAGGTGAAGGCTTCACCATGGCTTCAAGTTGATTATCAAAGGAGAAATTCCTAGTGCACTTCCATCATCAGCAGTTGTACGGCATTTGACTTGTTTCCCATGGAGAGCTCTCCTAATGGACCTGGTGGCCTTTGAGTGGCTGTGGATTTGGGAGCAAGGTCTATCTCACTCCAGTTTCACAGGCCGAGAGCCTCTTGCTGATGTGGTCTTGTTTCCTATTCCTTAAGGATAAAAACTCAGACCAAAGCGAACTGTAGTTATTTATAAATTTTGCTTTCACTTTCAAGCTTTTGGGACATCCCAAAAGGATGTTGTGATCTGAAACCTTACCCTAGGAAAATGGACTGCTTAGGACATGTTTTGTCTAGGCGTTCTAGGGTTCTAAAAGTTGGTGCCAGCAATTTTCAAAGCCTCCTCGCTAACCAGAAGGCATTTCACCAAAAAGAACAAGCTGATATTAATTCACACAATATTAGGTTCTTAAAACTTCTACTTTGATAGGTGTTCTTGCAAGGATGGAAAAAGTATCTTGTAAAAGTCACCGGAAGCTGAGATGACCACAAGTGAAAAGGACTAAATCAAACCTATGTGGTAATGGTTATGGCATGCTTCCTTCTAGGGACAGTGGAGATGAGACCTGTCACAGATTCCGACGTGAATGCTTAAATCTTTAAATGTGTGTCTTCTCTGTAAATAACATGGTATGCTAAAAGCAAGGGCAGTACCCACTGCCATGCTGATGTGTTGCTTCAGCCCATATAAATATACATGTATACATGCACATATATAAAATGCGAGTGCCGTGATTTATTGAGGGGGTTGTAATGGGACTGTGAGAGAGCATACTTGCCTAACATGAAGTAAATTATACAGGTGAAGATGATGCTTGGTATAGTCCTCATGGGTATTAAATCAACCATTAGCTTTGAGATGAAATATGCAGATGTCCTGTAGTACCCACTGATATATTCATGTCTGGAACACAGAGATATATACAGCATATTACAAATTTGATCACTAAAAATCAGATTATTTTCACCTGGAGACAAATGAATTCTAGCTCAAACTGGAAAAAAAGTTCTTTCATAGTTAGGTTGTAATGCAACTGTCCAGTAAGCCACACACTATACTAATGGTGGCATTTTCATATGCTCATCAATATGGAAACTTGTGCACGTAATTTTTAGTAAATGTATGTGTTGTGTTGTCAAAACAGAGAGAGAAGGTAAAGCTTAAATAATTTTCCTTTTCTGTACAGTGTAATCTGCTTAGCTTTAACGAATCCAGTTAGATACTGTTTGCTGTCCTCACTAGCAAGTCACAAACTTATTAATCAATACCTAAATTGAGTATTCAGCGTTTTTTTCCTACATATGTTAATGATTTTAAACTCTGAGCCATTTGCAATCAGAGGTACCGTTTGGGGGATTTGCGGCCAACTCACAGGCTAAAATGAGTACATTTGCAATGAGCACTAATAGTGAAATAATTGGAAAACTGCCCTGTGTGTACTTAAGTGACAATCAGCTACAAGCTAATGAGGACAAGCAAACAAACTCTCCAACAGTAGGCCCCGATAACCTTTTGTATGTTTTACTTACGTAAATATCTTTTTTTCCCCAACAAAGAGTTCAATAGCTGAGATGCTGCTGAAACACTGGTTGGTGGTCAGAAAGAACATTGCACCCACTCTACGAAAAGCAGAAGAGCAAGCTGTTATTAAAGATGTGAAGTAAGTGTAGCGTTACCGCTACAGCGTACCTAAATCCAGCCGTAGTGCTGGGAGCTTGGCAGGATGTGCCCTCCCATCCCAAATGCCATGGAAAAAGGCTCGGCTACGAGCCTGAGCCTGAGTCTGTAACAAGCCTGAAGTAGATGTAGTACAGGCAATATTTGTTATGAGCATGCAAGGATTGTACGTTCTGTGATGCAGCCAAAGGATAGAAAATGAACTGACATGCAAGGACTGTACGTTCTCTGATGCAGCCAAAGGATAGAAAATGAACTGATTTTCCTTTTTTTTTTTTTTAATGTAATTTCCTGACACGTTAAAAATTCTCAGCCCATGAGGCACTTGTCTGATGCAAACTGTGAGGAACTGAATAAACAATGTGAGAAGTTGTTTTCACCTTTTCCACTAAGATTTGCTTTAATTTGCTTTGCTTTAACATTTTGTATCCGATTTAAAACTGGGCCATTTTTAAGTAAACGTTCTGAAGTGTTTCACGACTGACAGCTTGCTTAGTTGCCAACCCATGTGTCACATCATGTACATACAGCTGTTAAAATGATACATAGACCAGAATAATTTTCAAATAATTTTCTTCTGACTTACTGCTGGTAAACTCAAGTGTGTATATAGAAGCAGTTACAAGATCAAAGCTCTAGTTACCCAGGTTTATGTAGCCAAGTCTGTATATTTTAATCTTTAATCTTTTGATCTTGGGGAAATCTTTGCAGAAAAGATTGTCAGCCTCCGAGCTGTTCGTTATCCTAGAGAAGCGATGACGGAGCTTTATCAAATTGTTGGATATCCGTTCCCTAAACTGACTAACCTGTTCTGTAGTCCGGCAGAGTCTTCTTTAAGTCCAAAGAAAATGGCACCTACAACCAGTCCCAGGAAAGCCGTAACACACAGCTAAATGTAAAAAAGAAAAGAGGAGGAAAAGTGTTATTGCTTTCAAAGCTTCAGTAGGTTCTTTTTTTAAGATATGTAGCAGGTGAGTGTAGATCGATGGGAAGTGTTTTCAGAAAAAAGCTCTCCAAGCTGGGAAGGAAGTCAAAGGGGTGGTTAGCAACGTCATGGGGTCCTTCGAGAGGTGTCCGTGAGACATAGCAGGTCCCCAGTGCCACCTCAGTGCTACTTGGAGCTGGGCCCCCAGTAACCCCAAGCAGTCTTCCCTGGCTGCCGGCTTGGAGGTGATGGTTTATTTTCATGCTCCACAGTGTGTAATTCCTGGGCTCTAAAGCGCATGCTATTCATGGGGTTATTTTTAACATGAGCAAGATACTACGATCAAGCTATAGGTGTACAGATATTTGCAGTCTGTAACACAATTTAAATAGCAAGGATACCAGCTGCCTCGAGGATATAATTTAAAAGACTGAAGTGTGTACATCACACTTTTTTAATGCTAAATGCAAATGACAAAAATCCTAGCAAAACTGATGGTTTCAGGCAGTTCTGTCATTTTTAAGCCTTAGCAATGCATGAGTATTAACACTGTAAACCCCTTGAGCCGTGGTACCCTATCCCTAAGATCCCGCCGAAAGGAGTGAATGTCAGGGATAGTTCAGCTCCTAAACCAATTGCAGTGGAAAGCAGGGATCATATCAAGACCAATTTGGAGCAGATTAATGAAAAAAGGCTTAACGAGCTGTGTACCCCTAGAAGAATGCTTGTAAAATCCATCCCTAATGAGGGTGGGGAGATAGAAAAGATTGTGAGAAAGAAGTCAGGACCATTAACCTTGGGGTATTACGAGATCCTTGAGAGTGTAATTCTTGTCACAAGGTCAAGCTTTTACAAAGCAATTGTTAACGATCTCCATCGTATCAACACACAGACACACACACATACTCAAAGCCTTTTAACCTTGGGGATTCGTTTCCCCTTCACGCTGGCCATTTGCTCACTCATTATATAAACCATGATGAAGACAATTTATACCCCTGGCTTGGGAATGATTTTTCTATTGGCTCCTCTAGAATTGCTGAGAATTGCAGTGGGAGTTTTGATGGTGCTGGGACTGCAGAGTGTCCCGGTTTCAATAGAGTTAATTT